ACGAACGAACATCAACTCGTTTTTTCGGTGATATCAGCTCGACGCACTACCCTCCTTTCAGTAGAGGGAATTATTTGTTTTCAAAGAAAATAAAGATTCCAACAGAGACATTACTCAAAACTATTCCATTACTAATTAGTATTGTAGTCTTCTATCAAAAAGTTATGCCCAATCCTATGTTTTGACGATTAAGTATGTGCGCGGATTTTCTTTTACATTCGCAGTTTTATAGACGATAGTCTTATATATCAAGATGGTGATTATACTCCTAGATCCAGCTTTTCACGGGCTTTAATCTGGTATAAAATTCATTGGATATCCAGTTTGAAATCATAGTGTTACCCCCCTAGCAAAAGGTTATGCACAACCCGGTATTAAAATTTCCGTTTGTTCTTTTTTAAATGAATTCTCAACAGGATGAACGGGAAAAATTCTGTGTGCGCATGTATTATCTTAGTGCAACACACTTGCATTTCTTTTGTACTAGAATCTCGTCTTTTTCGCCTCAAATTATTCAATTATTGATTGATTACGGTTTTTATATTAATGTAACTGATGTCAGACGAGATACACCTTTACACGATCTTTTTCAAACCACTACCGATCGGAATTTCGCTGTTGCAGAGACTATATTTAACTTGCTTTTTAATACAAATCAATTGCATCCAGATTGCATTAATATGAATGGTAGATTTGCCCAGTTAATATAATTATACAAACGAAGGTTCTTTTAGATTTGAAGTGTCAATGTGCAACATATCAACTAGAGGGAGTATCCGCTGCAAATAAGAAATATCTATGTCGAACATCTCACGTGTTGAAGAGCTATAACAGGTAGAAAATCAGTATAATTCAAATTTCTACGCTTCCACTCCTTATTTTCTCGCCGTGCCTCGCACAAAATGGCAGTTTCGCCTATATCTTTTTATGCAAAAGAGTTACCGAAGCTAATTTCTGCCTCAGAAATTATGAAAATTTCCTCTTTCTCTCATATTCATTTTCCACTTCAGCTATCCATTCGTCGACCTCTTTCTCACTCTCACGTCATTTCATACCTTATATTCTTCGAATTCACCCACCCTCAACATTTATCTTAATCTTTTGAGATCCTGTAACGCTAGTGGTGAGTTTCGCAGATTATCTGTAGCATTCACCGAATTATCATAGGCGTAGAGAACACGTGAATTGTTGTCTTTGAGCGCTCAAACGGCCTTCGCTATTATTATCGTTTTTGGCAATCTCGTATTCCTATTTGTCAGTTTCATACATTGCCTGTAGCAGACGCCTGGGTCATTTGTTCTCGGAACAAAGTAGACAAACAAACAAACAGACAAACCTTCTTCTTTATATATATAGATCATGATATGAGTGTCGATGGAATAGTGTAGTCAAGACTTACAGACAAATAGACATGAACTATGATTTATGTTTATTGGAAAAAGTACTTATTGGAACTACATGATTTATTGCAAATAAATCGTTGGTATAAATACTACGCAGAACAAAGACTAAAAATGACTTATAGATTACGTAGATGTAAATTCGATCGGATTGAAATTTTAACACATTCACCACGATGTAGCCCACCGGTGGACCACGCCATATTTTAACAAAAAATGTTTATAGAAAATCACTTTCTTCTGCTTTTTTTCTTAAACATCAGGTTAAACATAAGGAGTCATGTAGACTATCTCGAGTACCTTATTTTAGTCTTTTAACCCATAGTATGATGTCTGTCATTAAAACACTCGAAACAAAGCAATTTGGTACAGTCAGGACAGAAAGTTTTAACTTTCTTTGGTGTCGCGTGGCTAATCCAGAAAACTCACTCCACTAAGTGTGCTAGTGTTCTCTTCTGTATCGTTTATTTCTAACGACATGTCAACAAGTCGGAAACTTCCACTACTTTTATACGTAAAACTACAGATAGAAGAATATGTAAGAAAAAACCTGAAAATTTCTCTCTGACTCATAATATTATATGTCGTGATATGAAGAAGAGAACAGTGGGTCATCCATAGATGATACCGAAAAAGGCACTACGTGTATTTATTGGAAGTGAATGGGCTAACCACAAACGTATCTTATTAGGGTCGTTTACCTCTGAAGGTTTCAGCTTGAAATGACTCTCCTAAGTGTGGAATCATTCCTCAGAGAAGCGGCCTCATCAACCCTTTCGATCCCGACATTTTCATGCATTCTATGTAAACACGAAAAATAGAAAAAATCTGTCCCGTGCGCTTAGTTAGCTGTATTTAAATCTATTCTGATCCTTAAGAGATAAGAAATGCCCAGTGACGATCATTCTATTGGAGAAACTAAAAACGAGCCCGAACGGAGGTCGTTCGTCGAAGATATGATTTTTTCTGAAAAGATTAAAAATTGACGATTAAATCAAGATTAAGCACTCTAAGTTAATTGGTACAATACATTCACAGGAAAGCGACGATTTCTGTAAAAAAAAAAGAACATCAAAGCAAAGCTAATCTTTATCCTTAAAAATAAAGATAAATGAAGAGAGAAGAAGAAACATCTATTATAGAAAAAAGGTAACAAAAATCATATAACTATAGAATATATTATAAAAAGAAAGTTTTCCACCCATGACAGTTAGTTTGATCGAGGACTTTCGTGATAGAGAACGCTCAGTTTACATTTATCTTCTCAGATTATATGAACTTTATATTTTCAATAAAAGGATTAGTGTAGTAACTAGTGCATGTGAAATTGGGCTGAATTGCGCTCAACCAAGAAAATGATGATTACACCATGAGAAAAGATTACATTTCTTTGTTTTCACAGATTCGCTTTTCCGTAGCGAATGTTTGAGTTTACATATTTGAAAAAAAACAGTTATAGATTCCGAGTTCTTGGCCTAGAAAATCTCTGAAGGAACTTGATAAATCAAGTAATAACCTTTTGTTTATTCATTATGTAGTGCCTAAAGATGCAATAAACGAGACAAGGAAACTTTCCTCGTATAACCATTGTACGGCTATATTAATCATTTAGCTTTTTTTTCTCTGATAAGCAGAAAATTTTCTTTATCCTTTATTTTATTTTTAATTTGATAGAGTAAAGACTAGCATCTATTTTTACGAAGTAAAACAGCACTGGATATGTAAAGAAACTTAATTTGCGCATTATTTTTTTCTTCTGTGTGAGATTTATAATTAACACTGAAATTAATTTTGCTTTTCGATTTCTTTCTACGAGAGAAATATAGCGCATCTTAGAATCTAATGATTAAATTATAATTTTGTTTTCATTTTTAGTTGATAATTAGAAACCATTTACTGAAGAACAACTAATTGCATTCATCACATGTCGTCCTCCGTTACTCTTACGATTAATCAATTGAGTCAAGCATCATCAATGCTTGTACTGGTTTTATCATTAACCAGTGTTACACTAGGCGGAATCGGACTCATATTTAATATTCTCATTTTCATTCGACCACCTCTGCGGCGTGAACCGTGTGTGGTCTATTTCTTCTGGTCGACATGTTTTAGTTTGATACTTATTCTCATTCTACAACCCGTACGTATCTTGGCGGTGAGCTTTGGTATAGATCAGACTACATTCAATCTTGGACTTTGTAAAATAGAATGGTTCGCTATTTATGTGACACGTTCAGCATCTTCGTGGTTCATTGTACTGGCATGCATCGATCGTTTTTTCCATAGTTCAGCAAACGCACGTGTTCGTCGAATGAGTACACTGAAGACGGCAAGAATATCTATTCTAGTCATGACTATTATAATCTTCAGTATACATATTCACTCGATCATTTACTATCAAACAGTCTATCAGCCCGATCGTTTTGGCAATATCACACCATCGTGCTCTCCTGAGAAAAGTTTTTATTATACATTTCTAGGACTTTGGAATATGGTTGTATATTCACTTTTTCCATCCAGTTTAATGCTTCTGTTCGGCCTTCTTACACTGAAAAATATTCGTCAACAACGTTTTATAATTCCAGCGGCTATCGATCATAATCAGACGATTCGACGAACAGATGCTCAACTCTTACGCATGTTACTTGCTCAAGTGATCTTCATCATCATTTTTACTTTACCATTATCTATTCTACAACTCTATTCGTCATTCACCGGTAACTTTTCTAAAACTGCACTTCAGCTTGCTCAAGAAAGTTTTGCATTTCGTACTGCAAGTGCATTGACATATTTTGCTCATTCAAGTACCTTCTATATGTACACAGTCACTGGTACAATTTTTCGCACAGAACTTTTCAAGATCGTTAGACGATGTGGACGTACAATTCGAAATATCGTATCAACGAACCGAGGTGAAATATATTGAATAACAACACTACCGAGAACGCTACAAATTATTCCTATACATAGTATATACTTATGTAAGTAAAGTAACAATACCAATTGAAAACTAAACATGTATTATAAGACAAGAACTTTAATTGTTGTTTGTTTCGAAATATATGTTAGTTAGATATAAATAAAATATGATCTTTCCTCTTAATAAACTTTTATTAATGTTCTTATATATAATCGCAATGAGAACTTTTTCTAAATTAGAAAATGGTAACGATGACAAATAAACACGGTTTTATCTTAAAAGAGATCAACAACGCTCACTTTTTTTTCTATTTGTTGCTAAAAGAATAAATTAGAAACACTATAATTGTAACGATTTCTGATAATGCTATATAGCTTTATTTGATAAAAGAAATCGCAGCGACGCTGTATTTTCCTCGTTCTTATATAGTACTCGGAGAAATACAGTCACGCACTAACATCATGGGTCACATCGAAAACATAAGATGAGTTTCTGTCAAACGTTATAGGAGCGCTTAAGTGTGATAGGGGATGTCAAAAACATCATTGGTAAATTGACACAATCTAAATGACTAGAGAGTAACATGATGTTTGAATAGCGGAGTTATCTAGGGATTATACTTGCCAGTGCTGACAGGAAGAAAGAGAAGCATAGAGAGAAGGAAGTGTATAAACTAAGGACAAAGGTCATTGCTATATTAAAAGAAGGAGGGATATGTGTAATCGTTCATATTGTCACAATACTGATTTATTAAATATCATCTTCATTTGAAAATTACTTATTCGTAATCTAAATATGTTCGATTTCGATACTAATACTCACGGTGAAAGACGGAATCATGAATATCGCTTAAATCTAATTGCTACTCGAATATTTTTCTTATTTTTTCTGTTGTATTTTTACTCAACAACTAATTACTAGATGATATAGTTACAGATTCTTTGATGTCACTAGTCCCTGGTTCGGTTTTGTAGGACTCTAGTCCTGAGAGAGATGAAAATGCATCTCCGATCTGCAAGATATTGTGATACCGCTCCCTATTCAAATTATAAACATTATTGCTTTTAATTGAGGGTGAGGATGAGAACAACTGCCATAACTAGTTTCACGTCGGATAAAAGAATTTACGAATGGCTTATCTATTTCGAATTCAAAGAATCCAAAACAAAGATTTTTTCTAAGATGTTATAAAGTCCAAACTTTCAGGAATTTATAATTCTAGAGACATCATACCAAGGAGTGAGATCAGCTGCCTTGGGAAATAAAGTTGTGTAAGACTGTGGTACCGTTCATGTTTAGTTTAGATGGAGAAAGAATATTTCCGGTTTTATATTTAAACACGCAGTTTACTTTATATTCAAGAAAGAATTATCTACAAAGAACTGCTCTACCTATGGTGATGAAGCTCCGCGTCTCAGTACTGTTGAAAAATGGTCGAAACGGTTTCACGAAGGTTAAGATGATGTTGAAGACAAAGAACGACCTGATAGATCCGTTGTTGAAACAATGCCCGAGAATATTGAAGAAGTTCGCAGTGTCATTGATGATGATTCTTATATCACAATTGAAAAGATGGAGATGCAAACCAACTTGAGTCACGGAACCATCCAACGAGTTGTTTCTGATCATTTGAATCTCAGAAAAATTACTGCTCTTTATATGCCAAAGTATCTGACAGATTCGCAACGAGCTGAACGAGTCCGGATATACGAAGAAAATCTAACAAAATTCGAAGATGAAACATGGTGACTATGTGACGTAGTGACAGGTGACCAGCCATGGTCGGATAACAAACAATTTGGTCGAAAGTCATCTTATTCTGCTTGGACGGCAAGAGGAGATCCTCCACTCACAGTTGTTCGACGAAGTCGTTATGCTCCAAAAATTTTATTTTCCATCTTTTTTAAATCGACTGATCCTCTTTTAATCCATCGCGTAGAACGTGTATAATAACTGATCATCAGTATTATATTGAATGCTGTTTACAGCCTGTCGTCGAAGAAATCAAGAAGAAAAGACCTTCATTTCGTGTTCGTGGTATTAAATTACACCATGATAATGGTACGCCTCACGCTCATAAGACTGTGCACCACTCCCTTAACTCAGAAGGCATCACCGTAGTATCACATTCGCCGCATTCTCTAAATCTTTCACCACGCGACTTTTGGTTATTCGATTTAATCAAACGAAACCTAGGTGATCACAACGATTCCGAATCATTATATCATGATATAGCTAGATTCTTGAATTCTTCAAACAGACGAAGAGTATAGAAAACCTTCGAAAAATGGACCCAACGCATGCGATTGTGTGTGGATAATGAGGAGACCATTGCGAACATCTGATGAAATAGAAACTTGTGGAAAATACTTCTGTTCTTTTCTAATATCACTGTTTCTGCATACTTCTATGTCTATAATAAGCTGAGTATTGGTCGAGAGAAGAGAAAAGACAAAAGATCAAAACACAGACACACATTGAAGGTAATATAAGCTAATGTTATCGGTACATATCATAGTAGACAGATGCAATGGAAGCTTTACTGTCATTTTATTGAATGAATAATGATCGAATAATGATGAAATGTAGAGCTAGGTTTTTACTATCAGCCTCTATAAAAAGAGAACTATTCCAAGTATTCTTTAAGAAATTCATATATCTCCGTGAAGACTTTTGGTACGCCCTAAGTATTTTCAACGTGATCTGTGAAATTCTCGTACCAAAGTCAATTTCTCTATGCCACAGCAATACAATATTCAGAGGCATTTCTCAATGTTTCTTGTTTATCACAGCTATAAGATACGTGGTAGTCGGGAAAAGTTACAGCTATTCTCTTCTCATATATTACAACTAAAAACAGTACTAATTGACGTCCAAATCGAATTTTTTCTGTACGTTTTTTCCTCAAAATGGTGCAATAATTTTGCAATTCACCCATATACGTATGTATATATATGTCGTAAAAAATTTATTCTGGCGATGTTTGTTGGTTTAAAAATTCTAATGAGAAAGAAATCTTATTCTTTTTCTTTTTTTCTTTTGACATTGATTCTTGCATTAACCAAGGTATAAGGAGAAAAGGAAAGATGTAGACAATATTTCTACTGATATTCTTTCGAGGATTTCTTTTCTTTAAATAGTTTTAAAGAAGAAAATATATAATTAATATTTATACAAACATCCCAAGGAAGATAGAACGTAATTAGTTGAGTGAAAACCTTACTGAAAATTAGAAAGAAACCTACTAGAAAAGTCAAATTGATTGAGTATGTCATTTTTCAGAAAAAATTTCTTCTTTCTGATTCCTGAGAATGAAAGGATAAGGTAAATAATCATACTTTCATTCATATTTACACTTTGTGCGTTGGTTACTATGTAATACTAATAATTATTATGATTTCATTCAATACTGAATACAATTTATTTGATACTAGTTAATTATTATGAAGAATTCACTATATATTAAGACTTTTGTTCGATATTATCAATGTTTATTGGAATTTGAGACAATTTTCAAAATTCTATGATTAAATGTGTGTTTGGGGGGAAGGTAAAATAATTTTCATCTTCATGAAAATAGATTAACCTTTTGAGTACCAACGAAGCCAATAGGTCCCACTTTTTGAGGCTCAGTAAAATGTCAATCATTTACTATAACGAAACAATATCGAACACAAATTCATGATAACAACACATCAGAGTGCCCACAATTAAATTTACGGCATTATTCTATCACGTTTTTGTTCATCCCTGTACTCCCCTACAAGCATAAAAATTCGAACCTGGAGGAGAGCACGACGATGATGTGGAATAAATCGAAATTTTTTTTGAAAATTTTAGTGTAAATACTGATATCAAACCTTATTCATGTTAAATCTGAAAGTGCGGATAGTGTCCTCTTCCAGATGAGTGGTGGTACTTAAAGAGTTAAACTAAAAGAAAATATCATGAGGATTTAACCCTTTCAGTTCCGGCTTTTTTGGGAAAATCGAATTTTTTTAATGATATTTCTAAAGATGGTTTTTATTTCTTCAAAAAAAATTACATATTTGTCTCAAGCAGTCATGAATAGTTCATCTTTGTATAGTAGTCTTTGAACCAATCAACGATACACCGAGGTACATCGCAATCGGGACAGATATATCGTATATCACTATGAATATTATGTGATGCACAAGCGACGCATTTTCTTCGAGGCTGGTTTGATTGTGATGTTTGTGGAATAAGTGCAAGAAAATGTCGACCAGTTAGACGAAGAGAAGAACCTCCTATTGATGGACTCCCAATCATAGTTGATCTTTGTGGTTCATACTTCGTCAAAATTTGTCTGATTACTACAAGTCGAAAATCAGATAGATCAGACGAGATATTGTTCTGCATTTTGTGAATAATAAATGCATTATATACTACCATATACAAAACATGGAAAAATAGCTTCTTATACCATTTTAGTGAATGTATTGGAATGTACTAGAATGAGAGATACTGTGTATTAGCATACAGAGCGAAAGAAAGCGCATAGAATATAAATATGTATTATTAATAAGCAGAAAGGGAAGAAATGAGGATTATTCTAGAGTCGTACCATTAAATACAACGAGTGAGAGGCGTTATAAACAATTAAAAACTATATCAGGAGTATCTTTGTCAAAATTGCATTTGGACGCATGTATGCGTCGCTGGGACTCAAAGGGTTGAGGTAAAACTTGTTAGTTAGTTGTTTCATTTGAATTAGTTCGACCATCTATGACAGAGATGTTTGGTTATCTTAATAATGTTGCTCTTTCTTAACCTTGATCTAATCGTGCCATTTCGTTTTCTGGTTGAACGCGACGATTGTGAATATGAAATAAGCTTCGGATATTGTTACGAAATGCTTTTGATGCAAATATATAAATATAAAATGAAGCTCCAAAAGTACTAAAACTTAATACACCTAGAATAGAAGATAATAAGTTTTCTTGAGCTTGTCGAATCGCATTTTTTGGTACAGTTCTTGTCGATAAAGCATAGATTTGATTGAATAAATTCGGTACTGTTGTTAGAAGAACTACAATAAATTGAATAATTAACATACGAGCTAAATTTTGTTGTAAATTTCCACCTTGTACTAAACGACTTCGAGCATTGTGCCACGTAAGCACCGACGATACTACCAAGACAATAACTGGTATTGAACTATAAACAATAAGACCATTATAAGCAGTGAAGTCCGCATTGGTTGTAGTACAAATAGTAACATTCGCTGAATTCGTTGTATGCGTATAGAAAAACAAGACTGGACTGAATAGTAATCCAAAAAATAAAATCATCGAAAACGCAACTAATAAAGTTAATTTTCTAGTGATTAAATGACGTAAGCGTACTATTCGTGATGTGAGGAGATATTGACTGAGGCCAGCCAAACCAATACTATTCAATGCAATGGTACCACTCGATAGACCAAAATAATATCGTAACTTACACAAAAAGATTGACCCACTTAATGGATCATAACCACTAATTCGATAGATTAATTGAGGTATTAAAGAAAAAGTAAGAGTAAATTGACTGAAAATAAACGATGCGATAAGAAAAATTGAAATTGGTAGTTTATTAAATTGTGAAAAACAAATAAAAGCGAATAAATTGATGAAATTACCTATTGTTCCAAAGATAAGTATTGGTAATCCACCAGATGCAAAAAGAACTCGAGAAATAAAAGAAAGACGAGCAATTTCGGCAGATGAGTCCGACATGATCTGGAAAAGAAATATTTTTTCGTGAACTATCAACTATTTAGAAATGATTGACTATATGTTCAATTCTATCTTATCATTTCAATAATCAGTAATTTATTTTAAATAATAAAAATACTTCATATACAATAAGAATCATTTAGTAAAATAAAACTTTATTTTTTTTGCAGATTATTTAACATTATATTTATGGTAGATTCTATCAAATAAGAAAAAAAACTTCTTCAATCCAAAAACAAATGTTTTTTGTTTGAAAATGAGCTTGAAAGAAGATTATATCTCTTTTATCTCTTGACGACCAACAGGGTTTTTTTAGTGCAGGGAGAAAGTAATCATATTAGCAGAGATTATGGACCCTTCATATGCTAACACGATGGTCAGAACTGCCGGTTGTGATCAAAAGATATTCCCACCCAGATGAACTGGGTGAAGTATGATTTTTATAGATTTTCGCTTGGATGACTCAGTAATGTGGTTAAGACCCACTGTAAATTTATTCTGATGATTTTTTAAAACGTCTTCAATTGTTTATGAAAGGGGAAAGTCAAAATAACCACCGTTACTATGCCAAAAAAAGATTAAAAAGTAACACTTTTTTTAATAGCACCGGAATATTTTTAGATAAGTTTAAAATATACAAAATTGTTTCACACTATAGTTTAAGACTACTTCTAATGATATCGTTAAAAAATTCCATTGAATACGAAGAAAATAGTGACATTTTAGGAACACATTGTGCTTAAAAAATGAGAAATTTTGTGAGCAATATTCATGCGTTTAATGACGACCTTAGTAGGTTCTTCTCTCCGTCTTACTTTCATCTAGACTGTCTTCATTTTAAACAACAGTAGTTTTCATGAATGAGACGTTATTCTTTCACTATATAGCAATTAATGTGACGTCTTCTACAAGGGGCAGTTGATCGTAAAGGATGAATTATTTAAAATCTTCTATCATCTAAAACACAAATATATATGACCAAACAACATTTTCTAACAAATGTAATTATTTTCTAAATAAAGTAAATCCTGTGTAACCTTAAGATGTCAAAGCATTCCTTCTATTATTATCAAGCATGATAATATTTTATTGAATTTCAATCTTTTCATCTGAGAATATCTCGCTGTTTTAACAAAAATTCATTCACAAGAGTTACCAATTTTTTTCAGATCGAGTTATCTCAGTTTTGATAACGTCATTCGTTATTTTAGAGAACCAAATGAATAAGGATTAAGAGATTAAAGAAATCTTTTCTTAAGCATAATGTTTTTTTTTCTTATTTCTAAATTAGTTTTTTCACTTCAGTTATATGAAAAAAAAGAATAAATATGATTTTATCGTAGACAAGTCGATCCCCTATTTTGTTTAACTAATTTCGAAAAGTACAATAAAGAAAAAATATTTTCTTTTGACTAGTATTTGGGAAATTCCATATGATTTTCGATCACGTCAACTATTTTATAGTTCTTTTGAATTTTTCACGAAATGTGTCACATTCGTAGTGATTATAGAAAAATATTTCTCATATATTTTTTGTTTACGGAACATTAGTGATCTTTTGAAAATTCATTGATAAAACAATAGCAGGGATCAAGGTAGTTTCTTAATTAATTTCAAATTTTTTAATTGATCAGATTCTCACACAACATATTCGTATTTATTTCTCAGAAATCCATTTACAAATCGAGTGAATATTTATAAATTAAAATAATTCTCTTTTATAGATAAAGAACACCGTCGGATAATATCGTAAATCTGATGGTAAACAACTAAGAATGAATTATAAACACATTAACTTCCAACTATGCGACTTCTACTTTTTGAAATTCCATGATGTTCGTTTAACAATAGCTTCTCTTCCCTATCGCCGTTCACATACACATACTCAAACTCAAGTATGCCTCTGCCTGGCAGTTGAAATGAATAATCATTTCTTGCATGATATTATCATGCCCATTATTTATGCATTGTTAAGTGTAATCCAGGTTCTGAATCCAAAGAATAGATCATTGATAACATTTTCTTTTTATTTTCATATCCTAGAACTAATGAAAGTAAATATAGCTTATTGATTTCACTTTCAGATGTAAATCAAACGCCTTTTTTCACGATATTAATAAACTAAATACACTTTTCGGTCACCAAGCACTATTTATGCCTTATTAAAAGCTAAACTAGGTGTTGATCTTTTCTTTCTACCCTTCCTCTCAAAAAAAGAAGAAATTTCTAGCGCGGGTGGACGGGGGACTCAACCCCCCTAAATCGAAAACCGTGACACCGTCTCTGCAAATAATCTTTAGGTTCTCATAGTGATCATGCTGACCCTCTTCGTCAATTTATCATAATTCACTTGTTAGAAAGGTGTTTTATTTACAATTCTTTTTCGCATTGTCAAGGTTTCTTCTATACAGTTGCAGATGAGAGTGGTCTGGAGGAAGTGAACGTTGTCCCGTTTCAACTGCACGTTCGTAAAACCAAAGTGCTTTTGAAAAGTTATGCATATTGTCATACACATTGCCGACGTCGTTGTAGGAAGTCGCCAAATCGGGATGATTTGGAGGAAGAGCTATTTGTCGGATTTCAAGTGCTTTTTCCTGAAACGACAGTGCTTTCGAGTAATGGCCCATGCTCCTGTACACCAAACCAATATTGTTGTAAGAATAAGCCAAATCGGAATGATTGGAAGGGAGAGCCATTTGTCGAATTTCAAGCGCTTTCTCGTGAGATGAAAGTGCTTCCGAGTAGTCGCCCATGTTATAATACGCTACGCCTATGCCGATGTACGGCTTCGCCAAATTGGCATGATTTGGAGGGAGAACTATTTTCCAGATTTCAAGTGCTTTTCCGTAATACGAAAGTGCTTGTGAGTAATCGCCCATGTTCCTATACACCAAGCCGATATTGTTGTAGGAAGTCGCCAAATCGGGATGATTTGGAGGAAGAGCTATTGCCGTGATTTCGAGGTCTTTTTCGTAACACGAAAGTGCTTTTGTGTAATCACCCATATCGTCGTACACCAAGCCGAGGCTGTTGTAGGAATAAGCCAAATCGGGATGATTTGGAGGGAGAACTATTTGTCGGATTTCAAGCGCTTTCTCGTGAGACGAAAGTGCTTCTGAGTAGTCGCCCATGTGGTAATACACAATACCGATGCTGCTGTAGGAACAAGCCAAATCGGGATCATTCGAAGAAAGAACTCTTTCACGAATTTCAAGTGACTTATCGTAGAACGTAAGTGCAGTCCGATATTCACCTTGCATATCCTTGACCCTTCCTAGTTGATAGTAGAGACGAGCCATCTCACACTCATCAGATGTGTTCCGATCTAGTAGTGTTTCGTATACCCGTTCGGCTTGATCGAATTCGCCGAGTTTAATGAGCAACTGACCCAGCCGGGACCATCCAGATGATCCTGTAGTCTCTTGTCGTATTCGTTCAGTGAGAGCGTTGAATTGCGGGTCATTGTCAACCGTCAATGTGAGTTCAACTCTCCAGAGTCGATTGCTGCCATCAACTTGTGTAATTCCATCAATCCGAAAAACTGTGTGCATGGAGAAAAGAATCTCTTGTTCTTGGTCCTTGTAGCAGCTGACTTCGTTTAGATCGGCAAATGGAGCAGACGAGATAACGGGATTGATGGTCATTTGGAACAGGATACCAACCAATTCAGGGTTCGAAAGAGCACTCTCAGCGAATAGGAAAGATACATGAGGATCTTTGCTAGTCGACAAGAAATTGTTGAATGATAGCAGTCCACCTTTCATCTTTCGTATATTTTGAAGGTTGTTCTCCGACAAACCCTGCCCTCGGTAAACAACAAATGTTGTTGCCGATACCTGTTGGTTGTGAAGTTGTTGCACTTGTTGATGGAGATCATGAATAAAGAAGCCCATTTTCACTATAGTATCTACTTCAAGAGTTCGTAATGCCCGATTGAGCATTGGATAGAGGCAACAATCGTAAGTGTACCACCAGACAGGTGTTTGAAGGCGGTATTCTTGCTCGAACTTATCAATATTCCCAGAATCAATGGATTGCTCACGGCAGTAGTAGGCTAAATCTTGAACGCACTTTGTGCCATAGTTATTGATTTCGAGGAGAATCTCTTTGAGAATTTGTGTGTACATGAACGTATGGTCCAGTTGATTGAGATTTTGATTGAATGTTGCAGATGTGTCATTCGGCGGAACAAGACTGATTCGAATGAAATTTTGATCACATCGGAGTGCAGCTTTCTTAAGTGACTGGCAGATGAGTTCGATATTTGTAAAGACGCCTTTCACTTTCGGCCATGTGCTGACCCATTGTTCATTTAGTGTCTGGTTGCCACAAAAAACGAAGATGGAATCGAGTTGCGGCGTATCATGAAGGGCAGGTACCACGTGTTCAACGAGATCACCGGATATAATCATAAATATTTTTTCGTCTTTGATCTGTTCGAGAAAATATGCACACTCATCATAATCGGTAAACTGATCGATAGTGTTAACAATACATCGTACACGGGTCATGAAATTACGAAAATCATCATTGAATTCGTCGATATTTGCATCGAGCTAAATCAGACGAAAGTTTTCCAGTATACGCCATCTCCTTCCTGCATCGTCAGTTTTCCTGCCTGCAGCAGTTTTCGTTGGTTTAGAAGATTTGGATATCTGCTTGGCCTCCCGATCTCTGATGAGACTGTGTGTCGTTGTTGGTTTCTTTTTATTCATGATGTGTGTAATAATGGAAGTCTGACTTGCGAGCTAAGAAAGAAAATGAGTGAAGACTCTTCAAAATTAGATGACTATATATCGGAGAAAAAGAACAAAAGAATGTGACCATATGGTAGTGATCACATGTGCAGCAGAAGGAAAATAAAACGAAAGACGGTAAATGCCAGCTTGTTGCACCAAGATAGAATGTAATCTGTGGAGATATCATCTGAGTAAGGGTGTGGGTGAGGACTAGTCAAAGCAAACCCAGACGCGTTTCGACCTAGCTGAAGGATCTCCTCAGTTGATTTTCCACTATGTGATAATTTGAAGGGTGGTAGTTGATTGTGTTGGAAATAGGTAAGATATTGTTGATGTATCGAATTCATTGATCTTGAGGGAAACGGTTGTTTTTATTTTGTTTCCGTATTCGGAGAAATCTATATGTTTGTGTTTGATGAAAATGGAGTTGTAAGGTATAACCTATGCGATGGTTTAGGGGGTGTTAAATCGCTCGATATATACAGTGATTGGAGTAATGGTTTTTTTTGTGTGATTGTGCTGCTGATGTTTAGGTATGATGGTTTGTCTCATAAGCAAATATCATAAGTGAGTATTCTGGTTTTTATTCGTTCTCTATGTTTTTCAGCCTGGTTAAGACTTGTAGAGAAAGATTGAAGTAGAGCGTATGTCGTTGTCGATGATTTTCTGAATCTATCTTCTCTTTCCTTCTGCATAAACTTAAGCGCTGAAAAATAAGTAGATTTTGTCCTATTTTATAAGATAAAATATTATGTACGCCTTTATTGTTTTGTTGTTCACGAATATCTGAAGGAGATATGAGACTATTTAAAAGTGAAAGAATTTTGTAAATATTGTTGCTTTCGTTTTTATCGGACTTGTTGTTTTATATTAGAACAAATTGTTTGTGGTGTATATGACTAATCTAAAATGAAATGATTGAGAAAGTGAAATTATTCCGGTGAAGGTGCGGTCGAGCCTTAATAGTTCTTCAAACATATTTTCAGCAATCGATCTTCAATACCAAATAATATATATATATATATATATATATATATCGTTAATATTAGGTTGTTAACAAAGTTTTTCCGTTTTTGTTTGAAAATGTTCGAAAACATTCTAGAAAGTTCTCGAAGGGTGTGGGTGAGGATATGGATTTGATTGAATTAATATTCACATCCTCGCCTACCCTCCGTTTATTTTATTCAAAGATCCAATTCATGGGTATAATTTTATAGAGAAATTTTTTATTAGACTATTGAAAGTCGTAGAATCCTATGATTATTAGTGTCAGCTATATAAAGAAATGTTCCGTCGGCATTGATAGTTATTGAATAAGGCGCATTCAGCTCTCGACCTCCACTTCCGGATGTGCCATTTGCATTACCAAAGATAGTCACACCAACAGTTCCATTGATCATCCATTTTTGAATTCGATTATTAAATGTATCGGCTACATAAATAGTACTATGTCGTTTTGATACACAAACACCTGCCGGATTGTTAAGTTGATTAGCAGCCGTACCTACTCCATTTCCACCTGCTACAACCGTTAAAATGCTTGTATTTAATTGAAATTTGACAATACGATGATTTGCTGTATCTGCTATGTAAAGCGATTGCTTTTCTTCATCTAAATATATATGCCGGGATTGGCTGAGACCTGCAGATGTTGGTATGATAATGGTATTTGTGTTTGATATCATATCACAAAGAGTAACTTTATTATAACGTGATGATATGTATAAATTCCTCTGACTATCCATTGTTATACCATAAGTAGACGTATCTACATATATAGTTTGGTTTGAAGGCCATCTTGAAACACGACCATTGCTTCCTATAGCTTCAGTTACATAGAAATTTGACGAATTAACAGCATAGACACTATTTGGTGAACCCAACACTTTTTGAGAAAATGCGGCTGTTGTATTATTAGGATAGAATACTTGTATACGTTTATTATAGTAATCGGCTACGCAAAGAATTTCATCTGCAGTAACAAAAACAGCATTTGGCGCATTCAACTGTGTCATAGAAGAACCTGCTATGCCGGTACCAGCTACGACAAAACTGAGAATCGTTGACTCTGAAATAGAATGATGTAATAATTATTATTAGTCAGTATGTGAAAGGATAATGCGATTTTTTGTAAAATCTCTATACGTCTATACCTTTTAGTAGGTGATGGAAGATATTTTTCTTATCGTGTAGTCTCAAATATCAATTTTCTTTTCACTTCAATTTCAAATGATTATAAGATCTATGATCTATACTTACCCGTCGTATAGACAATGGACATTTTACTAGACATTGATGTTCTTGTAGAGGAAATGCTTATAGAAGGTAAGGTTGATAATATATCATTAGTAGTGATTTGGGTGGTATCGATTGCTCTGGTCGGAAATTGAACAAAATAAAATCTACTACTGAAATCGTGATTCCACGAAAAATACGTATTTGTTATTGATGTTTTTGAAAAAATTTGACAAGTACTATTTGAAAAATAATTGAATGCTGAAATATTTGATGAGGTTATCATTTCACAAAGACACTTTTGAGTTGTACCATACATTGTAAGAGGAGTCGAAAGAGTCAGTGAGACATCATGTATAACTCCAACAGGAACAGTGGCGATATATTGAAGCATGAACGGTAGAAACAACCATGTCAACATTTTGAATAAATATAAAATCAATAAAAAATCTATTTGTTCATTTGAAAAGAATGATGGTCTCTTTCTACCTTAAATATTAAAAAAATATTTGAAGTAGTTTTTTTTTTATCTAATGCACTTTCTAAAATATGATCATTGAAAAGAACGAGCTTTTTCTCAAGCTCTATCTAAAGCACAAATAACATTAAATAAAGCATCTTTTCTTTTTTTCAATCTGAAAAAGCAATTACTGATACATTCATTTATACTTCACAATTACTTGTATTCATTGAGCTCTTGCATTGCCTATTTTCTTTATCTCTTGAAAACGATGACGTGCAAAAAGGTTGGCCGACAAGAACCATCTGTAACGAATAATCGTTCATCATTAAACAAAACGGTGATTAACGGTTTGAAAACTACAGCAACTAATGTTGATAAATTTTTCAATAATGACAAGATTTATACTGTGAATATAGTCCTAATTTATTCGAAGTGTTCGGGTTTTTATGTCTAGGTTCTAATAATATGCATATTGCTTTCAAACGTGAAGACTAGTTCGTGATATTGACCGCGAGCGACTAAAGGAAACATAATCATGCCAAAATAAGGAAACTTGATAATATCGGCATAGTCGAGGTGCTAATACAGCTGTTTTAATATTTAATGTCTTCGAAGTGTGAATATTTACCTATATTGTGCGTGTATACAACGAAGACAGTTGTAAAAGCACAAGAGACGGTATTTGATAAAAATCTTAAATGCTTTCAATATCAAATCGTTTCCACGACGTCTACTAAACCTTCAACAATAGAACCTACTAATCTAGAAGTCGTCTTCAAAGTTCTGCATTTCAATGATGATAAAGCATGAAACAAGAATAATCATCCGATGATATTGCATCTCAAAAGTAGACTTAAATATAAAGATAAGCGACAGAATAAATATACATATCACCATGCAATGATATCAGACTTATTCGTTTCTCTAGAAAGGTATGTAACTGTAAAATGAAATAAGATGATTCTAATCGTTAGAAATTGAAATGTTTAGATGCAATCAATATCATTTCTTATATTTTTTGTATTGACATTGAGTAACACATGTGCTCGTGATGTGAAACTTAATCAATCTTGGAAAATATGGAAAAAACAATTTAATAAAAGTTATTCAAATGCTGATGAACATCTTCGGTATGAAAATTCCATTTTTTTTTTCTTATAATACCATTATGATCTAATCGAGTATTCTATAGTCGTATTATTTGGGAAATAATTTGAATATTGTAGAAGAGTATAATCGTCAAGCTGATCTTGGTATTTATACATATCGGCTCGGAATGAATCAATTTGCAGATTTAGTAAAATTTTCTTTTGCTTATGATCATATCACTGTTAGACTTATATTTTTATAGACTATCAAAGAATTTACAAAGTTATTCAATAATTTGAATAGAAAATAAAAAATATCAAATTCAAACGATGCAATATTTACAGTAAATTCAAACATAAATTTGCCGGATTTCATTGGTATAAATGATTAAAACAAATCAAACATGATGATTTCTGGATGTTTTTTGTTTAATAGATTGGCGTACAAAAGGTGCTGTAACACCAGTTAAAAATCAAGGTCAATGTGGATCATCTTGGGCATTTTCAGCAATTGGTTCAATTGAAGGTGTATATGCAATTAAGACTGGCAAACTTATTCCACTTTCTGAACAACAATTAGTTGATTGTTCAACTACGTATGGAAATATGGGCTGTGGGGGTGGATTGATGAGTACATCTTTTCAATATATTCAAGATGCTGGTGGTCTTCAAGCTAACAATACTTATCCATATAATGCACTTGATAATAACTGTACATTTGATAAATCAAAGGCTATTGTTGAATTGTGCGGCTATGTAAACATTACATCAGGAAGTGAAGCAGCTCTTCAACAAGCAGTAGCTACAATTGGACCCGTAGCAACTGCTGTTGATGGTGGTCATACATCATTTCAACTTTACGACGGTGGTAGTAAGTATTTTTTTGACTTGATAATATTATCTTCTACAATCTATGACTTTTAGTTTATCATGAACCAGACCGTTCACATACTCAACCCGATCATGGTATATTTGTCATTGGTTATGGTAGCGAGTCGGGTAAAGATTATTGGCTTTTGAAAAATAGGTAATTATCAATGTATTTGACATAATTTGTATACTTGTCTATTATTCTGTTAGTTTCGACACCACTTGGGGAGAAAAAGGTTATATAATAATGATACGTAATAAAAATAATCAATGTGCAATTGCTTCAATCGCTAGCTTTCCCATTATTTGTTAAAATCATTTTTTTTATCCCAGTCCTTATACCAAAGACAAAAAGAAGCGATGACTATTTTTTCATTTTGTAATTTTAAATCGGAGTGGTCTATGATTTCCTTACAATAAATACCACACTTTTCTTTATTTGTTAGCGAATTTCACTGTCATTTGAACACTTCATTGACTTTTTCTATATAAAATCTATTTTATCATGTTTACTGGAAATATTCATCCTTTTATACCGGGTTGTGCATAACCTTTTGCTAGGGGGGTAACACTATGAGTTCAAGCTGGGTATCCAGTGAATTTTATACCAGATTAAAGCCCGTGAAAAGCTGGATCTAGGAGTATAATCACCATCTCGATATATAAGACTATCGTCTAAAACTGCGAATGTAAAAGACAATCCGTACACGTACTCAATCGTTAAAATTCCGCACATTTTTTCTCATTCTGTCTTATCTTTCTTTTCATTATTATTTGTTTTCAAAGAAAATAAAGATTCCAACAGAGACATTACTCAAAACTGTTCCATTACTAATTAGTATTGTAGTCTTCTATCAAAAAGTTATGCCCAATCCTATGTTTTGACGATTAAGTATGTGCGCGGATTGTCTTTTACATTCGCAGTTTTAGACGATAGTCTTATATATCGAGATGGTGATTATACTCCTAGATCCAGCTTTTCACGGGCTTTAATCTGGTATAAAATTCACTGGATACCCAGCTTGAACTCATAGTGTTACCCCCCTAGCAAAAGGTTATGCACAACCCGGTAGATGATAGAATCTCTCTAAATTCACTTTGATTGTCTTTTGTCAATCGTACAATAAAGCCGTAACTTATTTATATAAAGTTCCGTATCTTCGACTGTCGAATAGTAATAATAATAATAAATGTTATTATTCTTACACAAAATTCCTAATGAATTAGTAATCGTTGTTGTAAACGTCTTCCTAAACGTGTTTCTCGATAAAATTCAGTCATATATACATTTGATGGATAGATAAAGATTAACCAGGTAATTGCAGTTGGAACTGGCGTTAATTGGTAGACTAAAATCTTAAAAAGATACTCAGTAGCTGAAATTCCACAATACAAAAAAGTTTGTTTGGAACGATTAATTGGATACCAGATTTGATACGGTAGAACGCAAAGACTATAGATCAGTGGTGGAAGAAATATAAAAAAATGTCTTTTTAGTAATATTCTATAGATGTTTCTTCTTGATTGTTGTACAGAAGTAAAATGAGATATACGTGAAGCTAAGTTCTTTAGAACAATGATTGTTGATGCAAGATAAATAACTCCTGCAAGAAAATCAACGGTATATATCAAGGCAGATGTTAAACGAGATTCTAATGTTCCATGCGGTGAATCTTCTTGACATCGATAAATTAACATTAAAATACAAGTTGGAGCGATGAAACACAAACTGATCAATAAGACTTTCATTGATCTCCACCGACTAGCATTCATTCTTACTGTCGAACAGATAATTAATGCACGTTCAAAAGCAATAAGTGCACCTATCCATACACAAATAAAGGTTGCCACATGTTTGCCTAGCTTCTCTAAAAAGCACTGGAGTGTTTCATCAAGTTCGATATTCTCATGTAAATCAATCGATTTCATATATTGTATTGAATCACTAATGAAAAGTAATATTCGACCAATTATAGAAACAAGTGAATAAATAATTAGATAAATACCAATATTCGTAGAACGTATCCGTTTGCTACGTATACATAGTTCTACGGTCAGATGATTGTTCAATAATGTTAATAATGTAAGAATTAAAGAAATGATGAAGTTATCACGCTTTAAATTGAATTGCACTTGTTGTTTTCTTGGAATTAATTCTGAACAATTCAAACCTTGATAACATGGATTACATTGACAATAAGATTGATTTAAAGTCACATTGAATATCAGTTGACCATTGTTCGAACAGTTAATCGACATATTACATAGAAGATCACTCAGATTAACTTACTACCACTTAGATTTTTAAATTTATGTGTCTTATCAGCGATGAAGAAAAGAGAAAAAAAAACTGATAAGAAACTTTTTTTTCTTTTTTCCAGCCTTATGACATAAACATCAATCCTATAAATAAATGCTTTTCTTTTTTTTCGATTTTTATTTGTGAAAGAATGGGAATACAACCATTAGTACCAGTAACTGGATCTTATTTAGATTTAGATATGAATAATCAATGTTATATCAATTGTCCGATATTAAGAACTGTCTATGGATGGCATTTAAATGATGAATATAATTCGGCTTTGAAAAAAGCAGAACGTTTTCGTTCATATTACGAAGAATTATACAGAGAACGACATTGGTTAATCAAAAGTCTTTTCCGATCAAATGCGACGGTTAAAGATTCAATTTATGCCTTTAAAAAAGGTTATTTAGATTATATTGACAAATCGAGAGATATTAATACATGGCAAGAAATTTCCAATGCGCTTAAATCTGCTAGTGAAAACGAAGATTCAAAGTTCGTTGTTTATGCTTATACTCTTTCACAAACGTTTGGTAAAATAATCAAAAAGGATATGGCGAGAAACACTTTTCATGAATTTACTCTTTATTGCACACCACTGAATTGTACTGTCTTAGCATGTACACAAGATGGCATTCAAGCATTTCTTGCTTCAATGTTTCATTCCAGTTTGAAGGACTTCGTATGTGAAGGTCATTTTACTGTATATCGTGGTGCGGTTATTGATGATTTAAAGCTATTGGAAGGATATGAAAATGGTTCTGTAATTATAACGACGACATTTTTGTCAACTTCAACAGAACAAAATGTTTCAAATACATTTAAAGATAGAAATTCTAATAATCCAAATGAAATATCTGTTTCGTGTACGTATCTTCTTCATAACCGTCGACATACAGCTCTTAACATATCAAGTCTATCAGCATTCCCTATGGAAGGAGAAATATTACTTTATCCTTATGTTCCCTTTCGAATCATTTCATTTGAAAAACATCTAGAGCAAAAACAAATTAATGTGGTTTTAGAAGAAATTGATGATGTGGAAAACTGCAATGCTGCTCTATTTGTTTAGACTGAACAATTGACGTTTTATTTTATACTGAAAAATGTAGTTGTGATTTTTAGAATCTATCTATGGGTGTTTCCATGGGGTTTCTACCACTTTATACAGAAGGCTTTCCTTCCAACGCGAAAATTTCAGGGTTTGTAGAGCTCGACGAGACGATCATTTTGATCTATTTGGATTTCACAAAATGTCGCGGCATCCTTGCCTTCCAGAAGTCAACTTTTCAAGCTTTTTTCATACAAAATGTACTAGTGGCTTTTGAGACTTTTCTTTGTGGACTATTATTTTCCATATATTTTCTACCTGGAATTTCTTCAAATAGGCTATTTTTGTTCAGCTTCATTTGTACTTTCTGGAGCTGTGTGTAGGGATGCACCAAATCCAATTCCAGTCAAATCCAAATCCAATTCTAGAGTTGGATTTGATTGGATTTGATCAGAGTTGGATTCGGATTTGACTGGATTTGACTAGATTTGGGTTTGGATTTGACCAGGTTTGACTGATATGTGGCTCATATTTGCTCAGAATTAAATTTCGATCTTATTGAACTGTATTTCTACTCGAACTAGCACTGAATCACAGTGAAATAAACTTGCCATTTTTTACAAGTCTTTCCAGATTTTTGTCTCAAAAAAGGTGAAATACCTATTGTCAAATCCACATTACAGTTTGATTCACTCTT